ACACGCACGCACGCACGCGCACGCACGCACGCACGCACACACACACCAAAATTTCAAAAGCTAAGATTGTTTTGTGGGCTGGAGGAATGGCTCAGTGGTAAGAGCATGCACTGCTTTTGCAGAGGACTGGAGTTTGGTTCCTGGCTCCCACATTCAGTGGCTCACAACTACTGTGACTCCAGTCTGATGTTTTGGGCCTCCACAGGCACGTGCAACCATGTGCCCACACACCCCCATACATATAATTAAACATAAAACAAATCTTTCAAAGCACAAAAAAAATTTCAAAGGAAAAGTGTTTTCAGAATAATGGGAAATCTATTTTTTCTTTTTCTCATTTTCATTTATTCATTTAAAAGGAACTTCCAGATTTCAGATGTGAGCTAGGGACTACCAACTGAAGGTGAATAACATTTGGTTCCTTCTCCACGCAAACTCTAAGCTCATCTGGGGAGCTAGAGAAGTGAATAAATGATGAAGTAGCAATTGGATCAGTGCTCATAGGGTGGTATCTCCACAGAAAAGGGGGCACACTCACCTAGATCTGAATCACTTATTCTACTTAGTCTAGAACAGAAAAAAAGACTCCACACTCATCTGGACAGAGAAAATGTCATAGACAAAGATCCTGGGAGATAAGAATAGATGGCATTATTAAATAGCCGACAATTTAGTGTGTGGTGGTTTGAATGAGAACGAGCCCCATAGATTATATATTTGAATGCTTGGTCCTTGGTTGGACTCTTTGGGAAGGATTAGAAGATGTGGCCTTGTTGGAGGAGGTGTGTCTTTGGGGATGGGCTTTGAGGTTTCAAAAGCCCATGTTATTCCCCAATGGCTCTGTCTCTCTCTCTGCCCTGTGCTTATGGATCAGATGTAAGTTCCCACCTACTGCCATGCCTGCCTGCCTGTCTGCTACCATCCCCCTGCCATGATGGTCATGGACTCTGACTCTCTGGAACTGTGAGCACCAAATTACAAGGCTTTGTATTATAAGTTGCCTTGGTCACAGTAAGTTGTCTTATAAGTTGTCTCATCACAGTAATAGAAAAGTAACTAATATGATATCTTGAAATATAAAATATGTGGTTTCAGATAGCCACCTGAAACAAAGAACAAAGAGACTGCTTAACACTTGAAAGCATCGTGAAGTCTCTTTTTGGCCATCACACTGATAACGTTATAGTTTGTCACTGACCCTCTCAGACATAGGCATTTTCTCCAGGTGAGAACTGGCCAGAAAGAGAGAAAACAGGTACATAAAGAAAGAGGATGGGAGGAAAGAGGGGAGGGAAGAAAAGGGAAAGGAGAGTGGAAACAGGTCTCCAAAACAGCAATTTGTAGTTTTTTAAAAAGTCTTTTACATTTCTCATACACAAACCCCATTCAAATTTAATGCCAATCACATAGTAAAATTTCATTCTCAGATTAAATTTAGTGGCATGGCATATACAAAGGGAGATAAGTCAGGCAGTGGTGGTGCACACTTTTAATCCCAGCGCTCAGGAGACAGAGGCAGGAGGATCTCTATGAGTGCAAGACCAGCCTGGTCTACAGAGCAAGTTCCAGGACAGCCAAGGCTGTTACACAACAAAACCCTGTCTCAAAACACCAAAAAAGGGGGGGGGTAAAGTTAAAGAAGGTGTATTCTTATTATTTGCCTTATTTTTGAGATTATAATATAATTACATTATTAATCACTTCCTTTCCTCCCTCAAAACCCTCCAGTATACTCCTACTTGCTCTTTGAAATGTATGGTCTCTTTTTTCATTAACTGTTGTTACATATACATGCGCGTATGTATATACATATATATTATGGAAAGTGCTACTTAACAGTTCTGGCCGGAATCTGAGTTTCAGTGTCCTGGCCTCGGATGTCCCAGAGGAGCCTTTTCTCCCTTGTTTCTCCATCTCTGTCTTCCATTACTTAGGACAATAAGAACGCCAGTTGCTTTCTTGTTTCAGCACAATTAACCCAGGGTTTTCTTTTGCAGGGAGCCTTCTGGGGATTGATTCTAGGCTTTTTGATTGGGATCTCCCGTATGATTGCTGAGTTTGCCTATGGAACCGGGAGCTGCATGGAGCCCAGCAACTGTCCCACGATCATCTGCGGGATCCACTATTTGTACTTTGCCATCATCCTCTTTTTTATCTCTGTTATCACCATCTTGACCGTCTCCTTCCTCACCAAGCCCATTCCAGATGTGCACGTGAGTATCCATTTGCCATTTTCTCTGCCCTTGTTCCACACTCCTTGCTGCAGCATGCCGCTGAGCAGCTCACACTTTACATGACTGAAATAGTCCCACCTTATCATTAGTTCTGGGGGCTGTCCCATAGACTCTGCTTCCTGAGTGACAGCTACTTGACAAGCAATATAATACTCTAGATTAGAAGTCCATGTCCAAAATAAGAAGTTGTATTTCTTGTGAAAGTTCCATGACCATATTGCCCGGAAGTTCCAGCAAGGGACATGCCTAATTACAAAAATCACCCAGTCGGAAACAAACTTTGGTTTGCTTTTTGACTTTTTCTAAATGAGACATTTTTAACAGTATGTTTTATTCTGTCTTCTGCTGCTATAATCAAATGCCACAGACTAGGTAGATTATAAATAAAATTATAAACATTTATAATTACATTATATATTAACATTTATACTATTACAAATAATATTTTAATGTTATAAGTAGCATCTATAATATTATAGATAATAGAAGTTTATTTCTCTCATCGTGTGGATGCTGGAAAGCCCAAGGTTAAGGGGCTTCATATAGTGAGGGGTTTCTTGAAGCATAATAACGTGGTAGTCGGTGTCATGACAAGCTGCATGAGAGAGAGGGAGAAAGAATAGAGACCAAACTTCATCCTTTTTTTTTTTAACAGAAAGATTCTCCCAGGATATCGGTATTAAGAGGTAACTGGATACTTACTTCCAAAGATTACCTAAAGAAAACCCCCACTCTTGATATTGTCATACTGGCAATTACATTCCAATATTTGTTTAGGAGGAGATATTTAAACCACCCATTTCAAGCCTTTGGAAATCATAAAACACTTCTTTAGCTGTGTATGCTGCCATTAGATTAAAGTCCTTTCATAGTTTTACCAGTTCAAAGAAGGATAATCAGTAACGGGCCCATTTAATTATAATCAAAATAGTCTGAGGACCCAATACATATAGCATGCTATTGTTCCCAGGTTTGCAAGGGAACAGTGCTATATAAGGAACACAATATATCATTTATCTGTAGAAAAAGGGTTGTGCCTTGCGTTGGTGGCCCATGCCTTTAATCCCAGCACTCAGGAGGCAGAGGCAGACGGATCTCTGTGAGTTCGAGGCCAGCCTGGTCTACATAGTGAATGCCAGGATAGGCTCCAAAGCTACACAGAGAAACCCTGTCTCAAAAAACCAAAAAGAAAGAAAGAAAGAAAGAAAGTAAGAAAGAAAGAAAGAAAGAAAGAAAGAAAGAAAGAAAGAAAGAAAAAGGGTTGTATGAATACTCCAACACATACAAATACAAGCACCTGTGGAATCCCTAAGCCACCTTTAACCTGTTAAGACTATCAAGATCTGAGATAACCTTAAGGTAAAACAGAATTGGCATTTACAGCTGCAGCTTCACCAGTTTGTCTTTTGCAGGCTCTGTGGTAGGGATCTTTACATTGTATCAAACACGTGGCTGTATCTCAGTCTTTGCAAGGACTGAAGCCTCAAACATATTTAGTTCTGAGTTTCCTTGTGAAGTAGAGAAAGCCAGGCATTCTCCAAAAGGCATGATTAGGATGGACGCATCGCGTTGGTTCCCACAGGATTTTGCAAATTCCTACCTCACATTCTGCACTGTATCAGTAGAAATTGCTGCTGTTCTACCCTGTGTTGACATGGCTCATGTTTATAGTTTTAATTTCTATAATGTGGCAGTGTTCAGTAATAAGATCTTACAGTGCTTGGATAAAGGATTTCTAGTCTTGTTTCTTAGCAGTGGTGCTGAAAGAAACAAATTTATTCAGCAGGAGAAAAGTGAATTCATTCACACAACAAACATTTATATTTTGGGAAGTCCCTTTTCATGAGATTTTCAATTTTAAAAACTTTAAAACTTCATTTTATGTATGTATTTTATGAATGTGTGAAAGTGTGTATGTGGGCATCTGCAAGCAGAGGTGGTTTATGGAGGACAGAGGAATAACCGGTGTGAGGCAGTTGTGGGTCCCCATGACTGAACTTGAGTCTTCACACTTGGCTGTATGTACCATCATTCACTGAGCTATCTCACTGGCCCAGTATTTTTAAATGTGTTTTATTTTTATTTCACTTTGCCTTTAATTTTTGTTTTTAATTTTTTTATTTTATTACTATTAATACTATCTTACTTCTTTGATACTTTCTTTCACATATGACTATACTGAATTTTGGTCTTTTACACTGTCCATTGCGATTGTCATGGCTCTCCTGAAACTTTTCTTTCCGACAAGCCCCCTCTTCCTTTGAATCTTATCTTTTGACTCACCGAGTTTAACTATGGCTGCTTGCTTGAGAATGAGTGGGGAGTCATTCATCCAGAACATGGGAACTTATCACTGACTGAACCCCTGGAGAAAATGACACTTCCTCTCCAGCATTCTTCAATTGTCCACAGTCCCTCAGCGTGGGGTGTGGTCTCATGAGTGCCTTCCCTAATGCACGAGGAAATGGTGACAGGCCCTATTTTGTGCAGTTCACTGCTGTAGCGGGTTCATGAGTGCAATGATGTGTCATGTCCAGCACACACTCATGTTCACAGCACTCCTCCCCATCTGGTCTCTTACATTCTTTCTGCCTTCTCTTCTGTGATTCCCCCTGAGCCTTGGAGGGCAATGATACAGCTGCCTCATTTAGGGATGAGTTGAGACAGTCTCTTAGCCTCTCTCTATATTATGATGGGACAGTGATCCATGTTTTCTTGGTATGGTAAGGCCATAGTCTTATCCTTTCTTGATGAATACTTCTTTATTTCCTCAAATTCTTGGCCTAAGACACTATTTTGATCTTTCTGGTGATTGGCTCTGATTTCTCCACAGCTGTACCGTCTGTGTTGGAGTTTACGCAACAGCAAAGAAGAGCGGATCGACCTGGATGCTGGAGATGAGGACACCTGGGAGGACCGTAACGATACAATTGAGATAGGTTTGTTCCTAGTCCATTTATTGAAGTCTTTAGCAAATGCCTTCATCAATGCTGATGCCTCTTCCTGGGGACTGGGGGAGGGGCAAGGTGAAAGACAGGGGCATATAAGCATGAGGAAGTTCACCAAATGGGTGAAGGTGAGGGAAAAACTCTTTTAGCTGCCTCACTCCTCAGATTTTGTAGAGCTCAGCGAATCAGTGAATGAAGAATAATTTGTACTTGATTTGGAGCATAGGCAGGGGTGAGAGAATTTGGGTCTTACTGATAAATCCTATGGACTGAGACAAAGAGGTACTCGAAGCTATGTTCATTTCTGATGACACTGGGAGTATGGGTCATAGGCTCTTGGCATCTATGTCTTTCCACTTTAGATTAGAAAATCCAGTTTCTCTGGATGCTTAAGATAGTGCTTAGTGCCCCGTAGACTTATCCTTTGTGATTTTTTTTCAGTTCTCTGGATAAGGCTTTAATTAGATTTAACACATTGCTAGGAGAGTGTTCTATCTCTGAGCTACCCCACTCTAGCCTCAGGCTTACCGTTCAAATTAAGTCTGTCTTCAACTTTAGTGTTGCAGCCTTTTCTCTCTATGTGGAAGAGATGCACACATGGGAATTTGTGTGTATGACGTGCAGAAATATGGGAAGGTGAAATGCTCGAGTCCATGCTTTGTCTGGTATTGAAATGGAAGATCCTTTCCATTTCCATTAAGTCCTGCTGGACAGCACCAGATGAAGCAGAACAAGTTATGAATCTGGCATCAGAAACATTATAGACTTCTGGGTGCAGACCCACTAGATGTCTAACTATGTGCCTAGAGACCACTTGACCTCATCACCTCACTGTAGAGTTCTGATACACATATGAACTTGGTCACTGAAACTCCTTTTAAATAAGTAAGAAAGCTAAAAAATGATAGCACATATCCATAATCCCCACCCCAACAAAACATAATAGTCTGTTTATAAAAACCAGCATGTACCAATCAGCAGTCTTTGGACAGTGTATTAAAACATAGAGTGGAGCACATAAAGGGACCTGATGCACAGATACCAAAGCTGCAGGATCTCCACAACACAGGGCAACAACAGGATATCCAGAGAGTCCTAGTGAGGGCCCAGCATCGACAGTGCAGTAGAAACCAGAGGCCTCAAATCAGACCAATGACTCTTTTCAATGAACACTTGCAAGTAAAGATACATGGACAAAGGGATTCACAGTAAGAGTTACTGTATAAGATTGCAGCTTCCATGAAAAGATTTTTATTTTTTCCCTTTTTAAATTTAATATAATTTATTTTTTTCATTTTTTTCTCTTAAATTTTGTTTTACTTGGGAGGTACGCAGGGGTAGAAGGTGGATATGAGGGATGGAGAAATGAATGGGATCAAGATACATGGTGTAAAAGACACACAGACTAAATAAATGTTTAAAAAGAACAAAAATACCACATTAAAAATAAAACATAGAGCCGGGCATTGGTGGCGCACGCCTTTAATCCCAGCACTCGGGAGGCAGAGGCAGGCAGATGT